TTTTTAATCATTGATGCCGTAATGTTGTTGCTGCCACAGAAGTAACAATTCAAAAAAGTTTGCTGATGATCAAGTATCATTTGCATAAGTTTCCTTGAGTAAATATGAATTCAGCCTTCCTATTTCCTGGACATACCTTTACCTATATTTGAGTAAATATAAAAAAAAATTGTGACATCTAAACATGTAACAGCGTCAAACCTAAAGTATTATACATTAGAATGTTAATTATTGTTCTTTTCTTTCACTAAAAATAACCCTCTCTGTAGATTGCAGTAAAGTTAGAAATGAGACAGAGTGGAAATAGCCAAAAACAGCTAGATAAAAAACAATGATACTAATGAAAGACAAATTTCGATTTTAGAGGAATAAGCAAAGTGGACATACGGTGAAAGCAAAATTAGACCATAAAAACAGAAAATATTTTGCCATTTTAAAGTCAATCAGCTTGCACAGACAAACATGTTATTACTGGAACAATTTGCGTCACTTTTTCGGTTTTCACCAACACGCCTAAAAACCGCATTTGGCTCACATTAAGGCTGCATCGGGGTCACAGTGCATAGATACGACTATGTTTAACATTTTCTAGCAGCTTATCTATTCAAAGGTTTCTGTCTGTGTTAGTGGAAAAAACCGAAAATTTGTCACGTAGTTTTTCTGCATTCAATTTTACTAAACCAATTCAGCCCCACTAACACTAATACTTTCACCAAACATCTTTTACAGTTCAATAAATTGACACCACCGAAACAACGAATTTGCAGCTACCCGAAAAATTTGTATATATTGTTTGAATGTAAATAATGTAAGCAGCTTAAATTAAAGAAAAAAACGTTCAGCTATGAAATGGATATTGCTTAACTGTAAACGCATTAACGCTACTGTTAAACATTAAGCAAATTACGTTAAATAAACTGATTACATCAAGCTTTAACAAACAAGCCGTCCTCTGCTGTTAATGCAAAATACTTATTTAGTGTTAACAATTTTAAAGCTATTTTTTTCAAAATCCAAAACATTCTGAGAATTAACTGACCGGTATGCATCATGTACAGGTAGTTCAACCTGTGAATAGAAAAATTTTTTTCCAATTGCAATCACTGGTCGACTCAGTGAAGCGATTTTTTCCGCTACCTTCATGGCTTCGTCGGCTACTTTGCTGTCGTCAACAACCCGAGATACAAGACCAGCACACAAGGCTTCTGAACGAGTAACAAAAACTAATACCTTTTGACAAAAAATTCATCTACAATAAACAATTATATTACACTGAACGGCTTCTCTTAAGAAGATGCAGCTTCTTTTTCAAACCTACAATTCCTAGAACACAATTCGGCACTCCAAGGTTAAAATATGAAACAACCTTTAATAAGTGACACTATGGAATCATTTGAACGCAGCAAAATAACTGTGACTAACTTTCAGCATCGATATAGTCGCCTGTGCACAACATCTCAAGAGCAATTTTACGAGGTATTGTCCTTGCCAAAGGTATTCCGGGAGTAGAGCAAAAAAGACCAATTTTTGCTCTAAATATGTGTAGAATAAGTAATCACATAAAGAATAAAAAATTCTGAAGAGATTTACCCGGGAACTGAAAATTTAGAACTTTTTCCAGCTACCGCGATATCACAGGAAGTAACTAGCTGACACCCTGCAGCCGCAGCAATACCATTGACCTGAAAAAGCGTCGTAACAAAAAGTACTCAATAGGATATTCTAATGTTAATTTTGTCGAAATCTTCATATAACCTCTGCAATAACGGGAATTTCGATATTTTGAACCAGCAGCATCAGGTCAGAGCACTTTCTGAACGTTTCCTGAATCTTCTTGGCTCCAACTTCCCACCTCTGGATGTACAGAATGTAAGTAAAAACATAGAATTAAAATGGCATTTACGATAAACAGATGGAAGCTTTAGCACTCAAAACAAATTCATTTTCATACCAACTGTTTTAGGTCATGCCCAGAAGAAAAAGCCGGACCTTCCGCGGCCAAAATGACTGCATGGTGTTTCTTGTTTTTTCCAACTGTTTCTAGTTCGGCATGAAGGCCTTCAATCATTTCAAACGATAACGCATTCCTATAAAATGAGAAGCCCGATATAATCAAGCTTTTGTTACTTTGTAGTAATAGAGAGAACTGACTAAACCTCTAGGATGAACTTCACTGATGTCTACTTAATGACCGCCACTACGAAACCACTCGGGCCAACTATTCCATTAATGACTAATTGAAAGTACAGTCAATTCTTTAGCAAAAAGAAACGAGCCTTCTCTTAGAGTCGTTCAAAACTAAACGGACAATTTTGTCATCGGAATGCAGCTCTTTTTTAATCAACGGTGACGAACTAGTGCTTGAAGACATGGCTCTCATCGACCCAAGCAACGATGCTCGACAGTGTGCAACACATCGGAAACCACTTGAAAGCATCTTGACCGACCTAAATCAACTGATCTCGTCAGCTGTACAGAAAACACAAGGTTACCAACAGCATCAAACTGTTACTTCACTGACTGTCAATTACAGCTTCTGTAGTTACACATTTACTCAATTTGAAAACACGACCCCTTTACCTGGTAACAAAACGATTATTCTTTTACAGTCCTGACAAGCAGTTAGAAAGTATCTACGAATTAAATTAAAAAAGAATGAGTTTGTTGATACTCAGGATCAGTGTAACTTCCCTAAAAACAATATATTTGAATAGCAATAATTCAACGAAACCAGTTTCATGGGAAAAAAAGCTGTAATGTCAAGAAAGCACTAAACATAGAAGACAAAGGTTTATCGAAACGAAAAAAAGTGCTTTTCATTTTGCTGATAATCTTTGACATCTATAACAACAACAACAATACACATCGTCAATGGGACTGATAATTAAAGCTTACAACTGATGATGACGATGATTGTAAACCACTGACGGTGCTAAAATAGACCATAAAAAGCGACAATACAACCCATCATTATAATACAGAAAATTTAAAAATTTTTTTTAAAAAATAAGAATTGGAGAAAAAATAAACTCAAAAAATAATTCAAAATTTCATAGAAATAAAAAATAAAGGTAAAATAAAGAGAACAGTATATATGTAGTTTGCTAAACACTGATCAAACATGAAGCTTCCCATCTTTTACTACTCAGCATTTTCACATGCGTCATTCAGTACAGCTAAAAAGAACTTACACGGCAAAGATTTACTGTAAATAGAATAATAATAAAGTTAATGAATTATTATTCGTCGGATAATAAACCAAGTTTTCCCTCTTTCTCTTTTTCCCTTCATTTTCAAGCAATAATGACACAAGCTACAATTTTAATACAACAAATTTGTGCTATAATATTATATATGCTGAAATAATTTGAAGAAAGCTTATTAAATAAGTGCCAAAAGCAGAAAAACAAACATAAATTTATGAAAATGTGTATAACAAACCCCGTCATGCAACCAAATGAGATTTCATATAGCAGTACAAAAATACAGTTAAAACTTGTTCAAGAATCAACAAAATACCCTAAAATAAACAATCTCTTTTTCGTTTCTGACATAAGAGACGTGAATAAAACGAATAAAATAAAACAATACAATAAAAGCATTAAATTTAATTCACAAGTGTGTATCAATGAGCTTAAAAATAGAAGACAAAAAAAATTTGGCTCGAAATCACTAACAGTGATAAAAGCAACTCGAAGACAAGAGGAAAAAAATATGTTGCTAGCATTAAAGCAGATCAGATTTGCAACAGACAAGCACCAATTCAATAAAAGAAAAAAAAGAGACTCAGCGAATAAAAAAACACCTGAATTCCAGAGATTTATCTCAATAAAGCTAGATATAATAAAGACAACACTAAAACGTAATACTTGGATTAAAAAGTAACACCAAGACTGGTGGTAACACTGCCAGCAGTTCCATTCATAAGACCTTTATTACGGTCTGTATCACTGAACGTCCCTCCGTCGCTGTTTAGTGAAAAATCGTTGTTCGGTGAATATGCGGCTAAACCAACCTCTTCTGATACCATTCCAAGACGCTAAATGACAAAAATGCAGCCAAAAAAATAAAAAGAAACCTACGCATCTGCTCAACAATAAAAAAAACTTACACTACTAATTTCACGAACTTGATTCATCACACTTTCAGCTTTAGCCGAAGCTATTTCTAATGATTTGTACCTAAAACTAACTTCACTATTACCAACAACGAAAAAACAGGTATTAAAGATCTGCTGGAAGGTACGAAAAAGCATCAAAAGCAGTTTAACGCTGGATACACATCGAGACCTTGCCTGCCTCCACTGCTGTCGTTTTTCAAAATCATGAAGAGCATTATCATTACCCCCTTTTTCTGAAAGAACTGGTGATAATCGTTCCGCGCGAAGTTCTGCCTTTTTCGTTCGAATAACAGCTGGCGGTTTACATCCCTTGCCTCTACAATTTATGAAAATTTGAGAATCTCTTGAAGTTTTTTTCGAAAACATTTTTGATACGACTTTCTCAACTACCAATAAAAAAGGAACAGTAGCAAATTTTTAAAGAGTTACTTTATGTCCAAAAATTCTTCGAATGCTGGTTCTTCAAACTCATCTCCTAAATCGGTTAACAAGCTTTCACTTAAATTCGCTGCTCTCTTCTGCTCTTCCTCTTTGATTTTCATTATGTCATGTTCACTGACCAGAGGTTTTTTTGCTGAAGAAAGCTACATACTTTCAATTAGACAACAGATATTACGCAAAAGCATCTACAGAGATCTACTCAACTAAGTCCATAAAATGTTACAATAAAGCTTCAAGACAGCATCTCATTACCTGGTATACCAATATTTGTTCCACTTTGCGAAGCAGGCAACTGAGTTGCGCTTTCAAATTTCTTTATTTTTGAAGTGAAGGCTAATTTCGATGGCTCTATTATATTAGAGTTATCATTTTGACCTTCATTTACCTAAAACTGCACTTAAAAAACAAAACAACAAGCAATTGTTACACTAATAAGAATAGTTCTTTTCTCAAGAAAAAAGTACATAAACAGTTGAACAGTTTGACCACAGCAAAATTCCAGAAAAAAAAACAGACTCACCGAGGCATGCTCAGCATTGAACAACTTAAAACCCTTTGGCTTTGGCGCTACTGGCGGCGCCTTGCGCGTCATGGAACTGACAGTTTTGTTCTCGTCATCTTCCTTTTCCTAAAAACAAAAATGGCTAGTTATCGACATTAATTAAATAAATCGACAGCAAAAAGCGTGAAAATGCCAATGAGCTTAACTGTTAGAAAAAAATATAGCGAAATGAATAAAATTGAACTAAATATTAAGGAATAACACTATTAGTCTAAAAAAGAAAGAAAAACAAACAGTAGAATTGACTTCCTCGCTGACTTCAGCCTCTTTACTACTTGTTAACCTCGCAGTTTCATCATCAGATGGTTCGTCCACGGATGCTACAACTACTACATCTTCAAGGGGCTGCTCCTCTTCCAGCTCTGGTTCCAACTTCGGTTCTGGTTCTAGTTCTAGTTCCGGTTCTGGGTCCAGATCTCGTATTGGTTCCGGTTCTGGGTCTGGATCTTGTATTGGTTCTGGTTCTGGGTCTACATCTCGTACTGGTTCTGGTCTTGGGTCTGAATCTGGTATTGGTTCTGGTTCTGACCTCGGTTCCAGTCCTGGTTCCGGTTGTAGTCCTGGCACTGGCTCTGGCTCCGATTCCAACCTTGCTTCAGGTTCCGGTTCTGAACTTGATTCAGGCTCCAGTTCCTTCTTCATACTTTCATTGGCGAAACTCTGCGCAGACTTTTCGGGTCCCACAAATTTAGACCTCCGCTGCGCAACCACATAAATTTCTCGTTCTCCATCCTCTCTCAACTCCTTTGTTGTCTCTTCAACGCTCATATTTGCCACACTTTTACCGTTCACCTGAAAGAAATATTTTGAACAAGTCTGGTAAACGACCAAAATCTTATAAGCCATAAATGAAGTCTTACAGATAAAATTTCATCGCCATCACACAATTTTGAAGCATCGTTCTTGACGTTCTTAACGATTATAGCCTTTGTTCCGTCAGCATTGATAATAAAATCAATGTCAAACCCAAGCAAGCCATCAATGTCACGCTGTACAGCTGTGGCAACAGTTTCGAGCAAACTTTCAGAAGAGGATTCATCGTCAGCAGGTTTATTCTCTGTTACCTAAGTAAATCCGCTTGTTTGAAAAAATATAAAAAAAAACACAAAACAAGCTACTTCCGACCATTAAACACTGCATATAAAACAGTAACTAGATCAATCAGCAAAGAGGGAAAAAAAATTTGCGAAAAAATAAAAAAAATGCATATGACGGTTTGAATACATACTTCACGAACTTCTGCCTCAGCCTTCTCCTCTCGTAAAACTGTTAGGTTTAATGTATCATTTTTTTGCATTAATTCCACAGCAGTCTAAAATACAAATGTAACAACATTAGAGCGGCACCATGTCAATAGAGTATAAAAGATGAAAAAGCAAGAATAACAATCAAACGGTTCACCTTATGGCACTCATCAATCACTGAAACACCGTTTACTTTGACGATTTTATCGCCCACCTTCAAACCAGCAAGATCTGCAGCTCCTCCTTCAAAAATTTTGGAAATAAATAGTCCTTGGTCATTCTTCTGCAATGCAACAGATATGAGCTGACAAGTTCAATTAACAGTTGTCAGTCACTTTGTTAAAAACTTAAATTAGAGACATCAAGCTACTAAGTGAGTCATTAGTATCTTGTCTGTCTTACCTTATATGGTTCTGAGTCACGTCCACCAACCATTGAAAGACCAAAACCAGAACCTTCATTCCGTTTAATACTTATATAATATTCTTTAAGACCAGAATTTATGACATAGGATGAAGATGATTTATCCACAAATGCCTATAAACACTTGTAAAAACTGTTTCCTTTGTTTGTCTTATTCTGTCAAAATCAAGATTAGAGAGACAACAATAACTGTTTAAACACCTCATCATCTTCTCCTTTATTGGTTGACGCCTTAAGAATGCCCTCTCCTGAGTGCTGTTTCAGAAGCATCACCGCAGATTTACTAGTCGGATTCGGCACATCCCCAACACTCTTCCGCCTTAACGAAAGGGTCGGCTCATTCTTCTCCTCCTTAAACGATTGTTACATTACACCTAGCCCTAGACTTAGAAATGACAAGTCATAAGTGAATAAACAGAGAAGACCGCTTTGCTTCATATATAAAAAATAATAATTCCTAAACACTTTTCAACTATTTAAATATCACTTATGAGCAATGAATTAAATTTCACGAAATTAACCTCTGAATTATGAGGGATAAAATGGCCGTCTATCGACTGACGTCGTAGACCAGCACGTGATCGCGGTTTTGGATGAGGTGTGCCACGTCGTACAAATCCTCTAGGTTCAAACAATTCTTCATCATCTTCTCCTTCTCCACCAAAGTGAACAGTTCCATCCGTTCGTCGCTGCCGAGCAGTAGCCTCTAAACAGCATCTGAATAATACATATTTTGTGGATTCTCCACTCATCATCCTACAGCTGCATTTAAAAACATTCCCAACTAACAACTGTAGATACTGATACTGAAAAAAATTTGTAAAAGTATTCTTTGTATCAATGTATTATTTACGCAAATTCTAAATTACCTGACCGTAAAGATTTTTAAAAACTGTAAAATAAACAAAGATAGAGCAAAAAATTACATTAAAAAACAACAAAAATTCACATTATTTCGTTCTTTCTCTTGTATTCAACAGGCAGGTAATTTCACTTTCACTAAATCAATCGTGTTCGCAAAAAACTTATTGTAAAAAAACAACATTACTGACTTAAAAACAGTAAAAAAACAACTCCTTAAGTGAAAATGTAGACAGTTACCTTGACCCAAGCCTTGCGGTAAGAGATAACAGGTTAGTACTTTTACATGGGTCACAGGGTCAAGTGCCACCGTCAGAGAAACTCGAGGAACCGTCTGAAGCAAAAATAAAAATCTCTTCAGCAAATAGTGTTAAAAAAACATAAAAAGCAAACAGAAGTCAAATCAAACAATTATTAAAAACGATTACAAATTATTTAATCTTCATGACAATTAACTGGCGGCTCTTTACCAAAAA